AGTTGGCATGGGTCCTGTGCTCAATGCCACCATTGCCACAAGTTCACATGCACAAGCTTCCAGTGGCCTGAAAGCCTCTGCTTCCCTGTGTCCATGAACCAGCCCTGGCTCTTAAAATCTTTCCTCCCCACCTTCTGCAATAGTCCCTGAGCTGTGGGGGGATGAAGTTCAGAATAGGAGTCCCATCCAAGGACACACAGTCCACAGTCTCTTACTCTTTTTTTTTTTTCAATTTTTTTGAAGTTTTGTATATTTCATACAGAAAATCATCTTTGTACTCCCTTCCACTTTGGCACCCTCCCATAGCCTCCCCCCCTCCACTGGAGTTTATACCTTCTGTCATTTGTGTTACGGCCTATCATGTAGAATTAGTGTCCCCAGATGTCCCTTAGTGCAAGTTCATCCATTAGTCTGTCTATCTATAGTCCCTCCCTTTAAGTCAGCTCATTCTCACCCAGAGTAATCAGCTGCCAATAATTTTTCAACTAAAATTGGGGCCTGCTGTTCATTTCCACAGTTCTGTGCTGGGTTTTTGTCTGCTTAAGTTTACATGGGTCTTGTGTATGCTGACACCATTGCTGTAGGTTTGTATGAGAAGAGTCCCAGGAGCCTGTAGGACTGTTTCTATATGGTCATGCACCTCCTCCCTGGCTCTTATAAACTTTCTGCTCGCCTCTTCTGAAATGAGCCCTGAACCCTGGGTGGGTGGATTTTAATATAGGAGTCCTGTCCAAGGATCCATACTCTGCTGACTCTTATTCTCTGCGTTTTAGTCATTTGTGACCTTTTGTGTTCCTGACTGCAGTCTCTCGTTCTTTAAAACTTGGCCAGTTGTGGCCTTCTATGTGCATCAACAGCTATCTAATTGGACTTAAAACCCTGTCAATGGGTAGCACTGTAAACTCAGACAAATGTTAATGGCAAGAGAGAACAAAGATCCTAGAGAAAGCCCTATCTCTTTCATATCTCTAGACAAATGAAATGTCTTATCATATGCTAAATATGGATCATTACATTTACAGACAAGCATACTGTACACTACTTGTCAAAGAAGATTCTTCCCTGTAGTCCCAGCTGGCCTGGAACTCACTATGTAGAGTACTTGCCTTTCTTTTTAATGAGCTTAGTCTTCTTAGTAGCCAGACTTTTCTGTGGTCTGAACTTTACATGCTTCTTTTCTGGGCAAATGGATAGCTTTTAAACCTTTCTGCCTTGTTTTTGTTTATATTCTCTCTGTGAACTTGTCTAAAAGCAATCAGCAATATCCATGCTACATCTTGAATGCTGGGGTGCCTTGAAATTTCCTCTGCCAGATTAGTCATTCTATGTCCCATAAACTCGGTGTTGCACAGTCTCAGGGCACAGACAGGATACTGACAATTTCTTTGCTATAGTAACACAAATGACCTCTAGTTCAGTTCCTAATGTAGTCTTTGTTCCCATATGAAACCACGTGAAACTGGTTTTTCTTGTCCACATTCCTATCAGCATTAAGGTCTTCTGAGATCCCACCAAAATCATCCATTATGCTCTGCTTAGAACATTCTAAGCCTTTTCTAGCCTGCTTCTTAAACCTTTTCCTCCAGCAAACATAAACCAGTTCCAGTTCTTTTTTTTAAAAAAAAAACCTTTATTTATTTATTTATTTATTTATTTATTATTTATTTATTTTTGGTCTTTTTGAGACAGGGTCTCCCTGTAGCCACAGCTGTCCTGGAACTATGTAGACCAGGCTGGCCTTGAACTCACAGAGATCCACCTGCTTCTGCCTCCCGAGTGCTGGGATTAAAGGCGTGTGGCCACCACACCTGGCCCTAATTTTATTTTATGTGTATGAGTGTATTGCCCACATGTATGTGAATTTACCCATGTCATGCAATGCCGTAGAGGTCAGAAGAGGGCTTTGGATTCCCCTGGAACTGGAGCCAAGGACAGCTCATAGCCGCCATGTGGGTCCTGGGAATCAAACCCAGGTCCTCCGCAAGAGCAGTCAGTGCTCTTAACCACTGAACCATCTCTCTAGCCCACATAAACCAGTTCTAAAAAGGCTTAAGAACCACATTGTTTGTCTAGACATGGTGGCATATGCCTTTAATCTTAGCACTTAGGAGGCAGAGGCAGATGGATCTCTGTGAGTTTTAGGCCAGCCTGGTCTACATGCATCAACAAAACAAAACAGAACAAAAAAGAGCCAAATTGTTAAGTTTAGTCATGGCAGTGACCCCACATCTCTGGTACCATTTATGTGTATGAGTGTTTTACCTACATATATGTAGGTGTAACATGTATGCAGGGTCCATGGAGGCCAGAAGAGGGCATCGTATTCCCTGAAACTGGAGTTACTGATGGTTGTTATCTCCATGGGCATGCTGGAAACCAAATCCCAGTTCTGTACAAGAGCAACCAGTACTTTTAACTGCTGAGCCATCTCTCTAGCCTCTCTGGTACCCCCTTTTTTTTTTTTTTTTTTTTTTTAATGTTAGTTTCACATTGCTGTGACCAAATAGCTGAGTAAATAGTTAAGAGGAAAGATTTATTTTGGCTTATAGTTCTAGTGGTTTCCATTTATAATAGTGGGTAGAGCACAGTGAAGCAGGGCAGCTCATATAATGGAAGCCAGGAAGGATGGAGGTGGGGGGGATAGGGAGGGGAGAGAGGTAGGCATGGGGGAGGGAGGGAGAGAGAATGAGTAAGCCAGTGTTAGCTAGCTGCCTCTTTTCCTTTTATTCCATTCAGTCCCTCAGTCTCTGAGATGGTGCCAACTATACGTTCAGATCAGGTCTTCCTAATAGTTTCTCACTTAATAGTTCCCTAGCTGTCTCTTGAAATGCCCTCAGACACACCAGAGGTGTTTTACTAATCTTCTAGGTGCTTTTCCATCCAATCAAGTTGATAATCAAAATAACAGATCTTGAATTTTTTTCCTTGTCTTTTTGCCTGCCATTATAGTCAATGTGATGGTTAGTGTCATCAACTTGACAAATTTTAGAATCCCCTGGGAGATGGGACCTCTTGTAATGTCTATAGGGATTATCTTGGTTGCATTAATAGGTGAGAAGCTCTGCCCTCAGTGGCTGACATCATTTCTTGGGCAGTGATCTGGACTGTATAAAGGAGAGAGTGACCTGGGCCCAGGTATCCATCACTCTTCTTTTGACTGTGAATGTAATGTGACCAGCCACTTTAAGCTCCTGCTGCTTTGACATCTCCACCATGATGGACTATACATACGTGGATTGTGAGCTAAAATAAACCTTTCCTTCCTTAGGTTGCCTTAGGTCACTTTTGTTTGGATGTTTTATCACAACAACAGGAAAATAAGAAAGTTAATTTAATTCAATTATTTTTTTTATGTGTATGAGTATATTGCCTGCATGTGTGTAGTGTACCCGTGTCATGGATTGTCCACAGAGGTTAGAAGAAGGCATTGGATCCTCGGGAACTGGAATTATGAACAGTTGTTAGCCACAATGTGGGTGTTGGGATTCAAGCCCAGGTCCTCTGCAAGAGCAGTCAGTGCTCTTAACTGCCAAGCTATCTCTCCAGCCCAGAAAGGTAATTTTATAAAAGAAGAATGTAGGGACTGGGGATATAACTCAGTTGGTAGAGTGCTTGTTTAGTATGCATGAGGCCCTGAATTCAAACCCCAGTACCTCGTAAACCAGGTTTGGTGATATAGGTCTGTAATCTCAGTTCTTAGGAGGTAGAGAATAGAAGATCAAAAATGACAGCTGAGTGTGGTGGCACACGCCTTTAATCCCAGCACTCGGGAGGCAGAGGCAGGTGGATCTCTGTGAGTTCAAGGCTAGCCTGGTCTACATAGTGAGTTCCAAGACAGCTGGGGCTGCGGGGAGCCCCTGTCTAAAAAAAACCAAAAAAAAAAAAAAAATTCAGTGTCATCCTCTGCTACAGGCCAGGCTGGAATACATGAGGCCTTGTCAACAAACAAACAAACAAAATTAAAAAAAAAGAATTTAAATATTTTTCTCTTATTTTTCAGGTAAACAAGCTACAAATCTTCCCTGAATGAAAATATCATTCTTAAAATTGCATATACACAAAGGAAAAAAAACCCAAGGGTTTTTTATTTTGCCTGAATACAGGATTTAAGCAGCGTATTTCCATTAGACGGTAAGGCAATTTTTCCTTTTCACTTAGATTCTGTTTTATTGTACAGTTTATCCAGATACATTTTATAGATAAATACTCAAAGAATGAATGGATGACAGCAAAACATTTTATTGTTTGTTGTTTATTTATGGTTTGATGGAGTCCACGTGTAGCCCACGCTGACCTTAAACATATAATCTTCTTGCTTCAACCTTTTGAGTACCTAAGATTACAGATATGTGCCTCCAGAACTGACTAAAACATTGAATTAAGTTTTGAAAGCATACAGAGACACTATTACCTTTTTCAAACAATTTTTTGATTCATTTTAATTTTATGTGTTTTGCTTGCATGTATGTAAGTGTGCCCATGTGTGCAGTGCCTATGGAGTCCAGAAGGCATTGACCAGCTGTTTCAAGCTCCTGCTGCTTTGACTTCATCCCCTGGAACTGGAGTTACAGACAGTTGTTAGCTGCCATGTGGGTACTAGGAACCAAACCCAGGTCCTCTGCAGGAGCAGCCAGTGCTCTTAACCACTGAGCCATATTATCTTTTTAAAAATTTATTTGAAGCTGGGCATGGTGGCACAGGCCTACCCAGCTGCCAGTGCTGCTGCTGCTGCCCTACATGCTCAGGTTCGCCGGTAGCCCTCCTCTGATACCACTCAGCAGGGATGGAAGTATTGCCAGTTCTGCTAGCTCCTCTGTCTTGTCACTGCAGAGTTGGTTCTGGGACTTGTGTGGTTGGGACCAAAATAAGGCCCTGCCCTTCCACTGCCCCCTCAGCCTGTGCAGAGCTGCTTCTCTCCAGACACTGTGACTCTGAAGCCTCACTCAATGGACTGCACCTGTTTCCTTCTTCAGTCCTGTTCTAAGACCTCCCCAGAGGGTCAGGGGCCTTCTTACTGGGACACCCAAGCCAAGCTTAGAGGCCTCACTGGGACCCAGCATGGCCTGACCTCCTACCCAAACTTGCTTCTGTAACTCTCCCTCAAGGAAATGAAGCATTTATTTTGCATGTTTTCTGCATGAATTGTGACACTTAAATTTGCATATATGTGTGTGTATTGCTTGTTCCCACACTGGCCATAGCAGCAGGTCCTGGCACTCAGGGCTTATCATGCCTGGTCCCTCTCTCCACTCCCTACCCCTACACTGACCCTACTTCAGGGAGGCCTGGGCCTTTGTGGCCACTTGTCTACAGGCCCTGCCTCCAACATACACTCTTCCAGACTGCATCCTCGCAGCAGGTACACTGCCTTTCACTTCAGATCAGAGTTCTCTGCTGTCTCCTCAGGGGGTTGGCAGGTCCGAGAACCCTTCCTCTTGCTTGCCTACCCCTGGTGTACCCCACTCTGCTACTGCTCCCCGTTCTTCCTGAACCTCAAAACCAACCAAAACGTGAAAAAAAACCCAGCTATTTTTGTACCCTGTGAACCAAAATATTTATGGATCATAAAGGATTTTTTGTGTGTTTACTAGCACTTGGGAGGCAGAGGCAGGCGGATCTCTGTGAGTTTGAGGCCAGCCTGGTCTCCATAGCGAATCCAGGCCAGCTGCAGCTGCTTGGGAGACCTTGTCTCAAAAAGATCAGAAAAAAAAAAAATTTTTTTTTTTTTTTGTTTTTTGTTTTGTCTTTTTGAGATAGGGTCTCCCTGTAGCCCCAGCTGTCCTGGAACTCACTGTGTAGACCAGGCTGGCCTTGAATTCACAGAGATCTGCCTGCCTCTGCCTCCCAAGTGCTGGGATTAAAGGCGTGTGCCACCACGCCTGGCTATTGGGTTTTTTTAAAAACAGAGTCTCACAATGCAGCATTCATTGGCCTAGAACTTGCTATGTAGATCAGGTTGGCTGCAAACTCACAGAGATCCACCAGCCTTTGCATCCTGTGTGCTGGAACTAAAGGTATGAACCATCACACCCAACCTATCTATTATCTTTTTTTTCTTTATTTAAAAAAAATTTTTTTTTTTTTGTTTTTTTGAGCCAGGGTCTCCCTGTAGCCCCAGCTGTCCTGGAACTCACTATGTAAACCAAGCTGGCCTTGAACTCACAGAGATCCACCTGCCTCTCCCTCCCAAGTGCTGGGATTAAAGGCATGTGCCACCACGCCCGGCAAAAATGTTAAATGTTTTATTTATTATTTTTGTTTTATGTGTATGGGTGTATTGCCTCCATGTATGTGAGTGCACCCATGCTGTGCAATGCTTCGGAGGTTAGAAGAGAGCTTTGGATTCCCCTGGAACAGGAGTTAAGGACAGTTCATAGCCGCCATGTGGGTGCTGGGAATCGAACCCAGGTCCTCTGCAAGAGCAGTCAGTATTTTTAACCCCTGAACCATCCCTCCCAGCCCCCCATTTTCCTTTTTTTTTTTTAATCTTTTTGAAGCAGGATCTCCCTGTAGCCCCAGCTGTCCTGGAACTCACTATGTAGATCAGGCTGGCCTTGAACTCACAGAGATCCGTCTGCCTCTGCCTCTCAAGTGCTGGGACTGCAGGTGTGCACTGCCATGCCTGGCTTCCCATTATCTTTTTTAAAAAGATTATTTTTATTGTGTGTGTGTGTGTGTGATATGTATATATGTGGGTCTTATTACAACAGCACATGTGTGAAAGTCAGAGGACAACTTTATGGAGACAACTTTTTTCTCTCCTTCCACCTTTACATGGGTTCTGGCAGTCTAACTCCAGTCTCCGTGGTTGTATGGCAAATGCCTTTACTTGCTTTGCCATTATGCCGGGCCCTGCTCTATACCTTTCAGTTCCTTCTTTTGTTTGTTTTGTTTTTTGACTTACAATTTCCATGATGACTGGAGTGAGTAGGATCTCCTTTTAGCCTCAGCTGGCCTAGAACTTGCTGGGTAGATCAGACTGGCCTCATCTTACAGAGATCTCCCTCCTTCTGCCTCCCAAGTGCTGAAAGGCATGCACCACCATGCCCAGCTCAGAAATATGTCTTTATATTTTGAGTGTGAGGCTAGTCTGGGCCACCTGAGACTATACTGCACAAATTTTTAAAAATTTAAAACTAGTTTAAAAAGTACAACTCAAAGCATCAAATAAAGCAGGAATATTTTGCATTTTGTTTTACTTTAAAAATTTTTTTTAAACTGGACTCATGTTCTTTTTTTCTTAAATATTTTATTTGTTATTTTTATTTTCTGTGTATGAGTGTATTGCCTGCATATATGTGAGCACACCTGTATCATGCAGTGCTGCAGAGGTCAGAAGAGGGCCTCAGATTCCCCTGGAACTGGAGTTAAGGATGGTTCATAGCCTCCTTGTGGGTGCTGGGAATCAAACCTGGGTCCTCTGCAAGAGCAGTCAGTGCTCTTAACCACTAAGCCATCTCTCCAGTCCCTGTTTTACTTTTTTATATTTTATTACTTTTATGTGTATGAGTATATTGCCTGCATGTATGTAAGTGTACCCGTGACATGCAATGTCCACAGAGGTCAGAAGACGGCATTGGATCCCCTGGAACTGGAGTTAGAGATAGTTGTCAGCCACCATGTGGGTGCTGGGATCTGAACCTGGATCCTCTTGCAAGAGCAGCCAGTGCTCTTAATCGCTGAGCCATCACTTCAGTTCCGAAGTTTTGTTTTTTAAATTAAAAAATTTGGGGATGGAGAGATGGCTTAATGGTTAAGAACACTGGCTGTTCTTGTAGAAGACCCGGGTTTGAATCCCAGCACCCACATGGCAGCTAACAACTGTCCATAACTCTAGTTCCAGGGGATCTGACAGCCTCTTCTGTCCTCTGTGGGCGTATATATATATATATTAGCCAAGGTCTTACTTAATATATTAGTAGTATAGTCTCACTTTAAATTTGTAATCCTTCTGTCTCAGTATCTCAAGTGCTGGGGATTATCGATGTGTGCCACCATATCTGACAGACGTATCTTGAGTCAGATTTAACTTTATTTGAGAAATAGATAGAGACTGATGGTGTGTGTTAATCAGCCTTCTGGGACCAGAATACCTGAGAAAACACAAAAGGGGGAAGGTTTACTTTGTTTAGGGTTTCAGAGACCAGCCCATGGTTAGTTGGCCCTACAACTTGTGCAAGGCAGAAGATTGTAGGAGGAGAGGCTGGTAGAGCAGTGCAGCAAGGAATCAGAGAAAAAGGCTATAATCCCAGTCACCTCTTCAAGGGTATACTCCCCAGTGACCTCACTTCCTTCCATTAGGCCCACAGGCTAGGCCCAAGCATTTAACACACAAGCCTTTGAAGGAATATTTAAAGGATTCAAACCATAACATGGTTTCTTTTCTTCTCCTTGTTTTCTTCCCATGCTGACTTTGAACTCACCATGTAGCTGGAACTCCCAACCCTCCTGTTGACCTCTGCAGTGCTAGGAGGCTCGGTTTCTGCAGTACTGGGGATCAAACCCTGGGCTTCTGGCATGCAAGGCAAACACTGTACCCTCTTCCTATAACATGGTTTCTTACATGCAGTGATGGAAACCAGAAGTCATTTTCATGGTGAACCATTTCTCCAACCCCCAAAAATCTGTAAATCAATTTCTGAGAAAATGTTAATTGATTCGTCAATACAGAAAGCCTATAGATGATGCCCCCTTCATGTCAGGCCTGGAAGTTTGTTTTTGGTTTCTTGACTTACAATTTCAGGAGATGCAGTCCATTATGAAGGGGAAGGCATGGCAGCAAGTGACTCCAAGATGGATGGAGTGAGTGGAACCTAAGTCCTCTGCAAGAGCAGCCAGTGTTATTAACTACTGAGCCATCTCTCCAGCCCTGCCTTGTTTTTGTTTTGAAAGACATGGTCACACTGTGTAACCCTGACTGGCCTAGAACTTGTTATATAGACTAGGCTGGGCTTGAAATCACAGAGATTTACCTGCCTTTGTCTCCCAAGTGCTGGAATTAAAGGCATGTGTGTGCCACCACGCCTGGCTCTCACCATAGCTTTATGATATAGATTTTTTTGTTGTTAATTTTTTTATGTGTATGAGTATATTGTCTACATGTATGTGAGTGCACCCATGTCGTGCAGTGCCATGGAGGTCAGAAGAGGGCGTCAGATTCCCCTGGAACTGGAATTAAGGATGGTTCATAGCCGCCATGTAGATGCTGGGAATCAAACCCGGGTCCTCTGCAAGAGCAGTCAGTGCTATTAACCGCTAATCCATCTCTCCAGCTCCTTATGATGTAGATTTTTTTAAAAATATTTTTTATTGGGTTTTTGTGCATTTCATACAATAGTTCTTAAATTTAGACCCCCCTCCCCCATCCATTATGCATTAAGTCCTATTGATGTAGATTTTAAGTGTCTTCACAGATCAGTACGCTGAGGTATGATAGGTTACCTAACTGGTCCCAGGGCACATACAAAGCTAGAGCTTTGATCAGAAACTCATGTGAGTGTGTGTGTGTGTGTGTGTGTGTGTGTGTGTGTGTGTGTGTGTGTACATGAATACAAATACATATGGAGGCCAGATAACAGTCTCAAGTGTTGCTCTTTAGGTGCTGTGCACTTTTTCCTTCCTTTCCTCCTTCCCCTCCTCTCTTCTCTTCTCTTTTTTTTTTTTTTTTTTTTTTTTTTTTTTTTTTTTTAAAAAAAAAAAAAAAAAAAAAAAAAAAAAGAGGACATGTAGACCAGGCTGGCCTTGAACTTACAGAGATCCGCCTGCCTCTGCCTCCCAAGTGCTGGGATTGAAGGCATGCACCACCACCCCAGCATGTGCACCTTATTTCTGAGGTGTCTCTCACTGGCCTAGAACTTGCTGACTAGGCTAGATTGACTGACTAGCAAACCCCAGGGATCTGCCTATCCCCAGCACTGGAATTACAAGTGTGCCATCACACACCCAACTTTTTTTTTGGTCTGTGAGACAGGGTCTCCCTGTATTCCCAGCTGGCCTGGAACTGGCTATGTAGACCAGGCTGACCCAAACTCACAGAGATCCATCTGCCTCTGCCTCCTGAGCACCAGGATTAAAGGTGTGTCACACCATGCCTGGCTTACACCCAACTTTTTTTTACTTGGGTTCTGGGGATCAAATTCAGGTCCTCATGCTTGTACAAGTACTTTAGTGAGCTATGTCCCCAGGCCTGTTCAGAAATCTTTGAAAGAAAATAATAAAGACTGGTGAGATGGTTTAGTGGGTTAAAGCACTTGCTGCTCAAGCCTGATTACCTGGAACCCATGGTGGAAGGAGAGAACCGACTCCCAAAAGTTGTCTTCTGATCTCTGCACGTGTGATGGCACACATGCTCCTACACATCATACCCACAGAGTAATAATACATAAAGTTTAAAGTTTATTGTTTTTGTTTTTGTTTTTGTTTTTTGGTTTTTTTGAGACAGGGTCTCCCTGTAGCCCCAGCTTTCCTGGAACTCACTACTTAGACCAGGCTGGCCTTGAACTCAGAGATCTGCCTGCCTCTGCCTCCGGAGTGCTGGGATTAAAGGCATGTGCCAACACTCCTGGCTCAAAGTTTAAAGTTTTAAAAAGAAAAAAAATAAGAACTGATTTGTGGCTGGACAGATAATAAGCTGCAGTTTAGATTCTAATTCTTTCTTGGCAACAGTCTCTACCACGTCTGTTAAAGGGCACGTTCATGGAGCTGTAGGATCACATGGGCAATATTTTTGTTTGAAATCTACCTTCTTTCTTATAGTTCTGCCACCCTGGGACAGTAAAGAAGCAGAACTTCAGGCTCCTTTCATTCCCTGTTGGGTAAGCATGTAGGAGATGTTGGCCGTTCTGTGCTTGACATCTGTAGAGAATCTTGGGGACAAGTGGAGGGGAGGGATATTCCTTTTGTGTTGATGTCCTAACTCTACAAGCTGGTTTATGAATGGGATGCTGTCAGCAGTGACCATCAGGTCATTTTGGGAAGGAAGAGTAAGATCTTCCTTGAGGGTTAGCATCTCCGTGGAGGACTGGGTATAGAGATCAGGGATTGTGGCTCATACCTGTAATCCCAGGATTTGAGAGACTAAAGTAAAAGGAATGTTATAAGTTTGAGGCCAGCCTGGGCTACTAAGTGAAACCCTGCCTCAAAAAACCAAGAAACAGGGAGGAGTTTGGAAAAGAATGGTGCAGAAGTTGGTCCAGAGAGATGTCTCAGTGGGTAAAGGCACTTGCTGCCAGGCCTGGGCCTGGTGACCTGACTTTTATCCCTGGAACCTACATGGTGGAAGAAGAGAAACAACTCTAGCAAGTTTATCTCTAACCTGCACACACACAAATGTAAAAAAAGTTAGAAACTGGAGAGATGGTTCAGTGGTTGAGAGCACTTGCTTCGATGGTTTAAATAAGAAATATCCCCATGCTGGGCGTGAGGGTGCACGCCTTTAATCCCAGCACTTGGGAGGCAGAGGCAGGAGGATCTCTGAGTTCAAGGCCAGCCTGGTCTACATAGTGAGTTCCGGAACAGCTGGGGCTACAGGGAGACCCTGTCTCAAAAATA